AAAAAAAAAAAAAAAAAAAAAAAAAAACGAAAGCAGAGGAGAGAAAAAAAGTACACAAAAAAGAAAGGAAAAAAAAAAAAAAAAGGCACATTGCTAAGGGCTCTACCTGCCTACATAGCCCCGTGTGCACATGCACTGATACACCACTGTGCAGTGCGTGCCGCCATTTACTGCTGCATCTAGGTGTACTCCTCACCAAAGCTAACAAACCATTCCTTAAAGACATGCCTTCCTGCTTTGAGACTTTCTCCCACGGGAACTCCCAACCCCTGCGTTCGCTCGCTTGCCGTTTTAATTTCCACACCCCAGATAAGTGTCACATTGTGGGAAAAAAAAAAAAAAAAAACCTTTGCGCACCTCTCGGGGAGACAAACACGTAGGCCGAGGTCGCTTCTACTATGCACGTGTGTGTGAATTCAATTGGTGATTACGCATGCGCTCACTCATCATTTGCTCTCCCTCCACTTGGCCGTTCACAGTGGGCTTATTGGCTTTTTGCGAGCAGCGTGTTCACGTGGCATGCACAGTTAGGTAGTTATGTAGCCGGGTAATCACCCATCACGCGCGGAAGTACACACACACATATATATATATATATATGGATACATGTATATATACTCGCACATATGCGTTTTCCCCCTCCCCCGTCGTTCCCAACCATTTCGCACAAACTGCAAAGAGAATGACAAACCAGAGCAGCGATGTGGGTACTGTACCCGCTGGGTAGCCAAAAACTTTAGCTAGCTACTGATTTTTTTTTTTTTTTTCCAATTTGCCCAAAATTTCCCGTGCCTGTTCAGGCGAAAACACGTTTGTCATTTTTTACAATTTGAAAAGGAAACACAGTGTTTAAAGCGATTAGATTAGTTGTGGAGAAGTTTGCACAGAGATGGTTCCCTCATCACTTCGCTGACCAGGTGGGCCATTAGGAGAGATATGCCGCAGAAGTAAATCGTAAATCGGGAAAGGGAATAAAAAAAATGTTTTCCGTGCGTGTGTACGCGTACATATTCATTTCCTCACAGTTACCCATGCGTCCACATTGGGGCGCATCATGGCAATTCATGTTAGTTCCCTTTTGAACAAACGCTTGTCCCCTTACGACAGTACGTGCCAACATGCATCGCGTGAAAAAGAGTAGACCCACACGCTGCACGATGTGACTACCCTCCCCCCACACTTGGAAGTTGTTTCTCAATCAACATTGCTTGGCTAGCCCCTTACACCCTTGCAACCGCTCCCTTCCCTTGTGAATTACGCACACGTCAATGACGTGCCTCTTTTGAAGGCGATCCCCTCGTGTACACTTTTGCAAGCGGCGAGAGGTCCCCTGCCAATTCCTACAGTCCATTCGTTAATTCCTCATTAGCGCCGTTCATCGGGGGTGGGTACATGGAAACACATGTAGAGGCGCACGTGTAACGCTTTTTTGAAAAACCTATCGACGCAGGAATGTGTTTTACGTATTTGTACATACGTTCGCGTGGGCCATTTGGGTTGTATTATATGTATACCCCCGGTATGACGTTCACTTGGATGTAGGAAGGGAAAAAAAAGGTTGTTCACACGGTTGTGGTGATTTTTGCGTGGAGCATGCAAGTGTACCCATTTGTTCGTCCTTTCCATATGTAAAGTTATTTTCCTCTCACATAACGTTGCGTGGCATTATGCGGGGGGGGGGGGGGGGAAACTTCCTCTAAAGAAAAAACCTCTTTAATTTTTTCGCTTTAGTTGGTTTACCTCTCACCGCTACAGCATGCCATTCCCCCTCAAAATGGCACATGCGCGTGTAGCAGTTACATTTCCACGCATGTAAAAATATGCGTCAAATGTTCACAAGCGCAACCCTCAATTTATAATTGGGAAAAAATCGGCGCCGTTCCTGGATCTCGGGAAAGTTGCGTAAATGGAACGAGAGCACATGGCCCGCCCTTGAAACAAAAAAAAAAAAGTGCCTCGTGACAAATTGATTTGCAGTGGCAATTGTCATAACAACATATATTATGTGACTCTTTTTTTTTT